AAATGATTCTATCTTAGTAGTAGGTAGTTTATGGATGGATTATGGAAGTTTTTTTTATTCAAATAAAAAAATAAAGCGTGTGCGATACAGTTTATGTTGTGGGTATTAATTAGTGCGAGAGCTTCTTTTTTTCGTGCGGCAGAGAGTACCGTCACATTTTGTAAAAGAAACTATCGTTTCTCACGCTGCTGTCGAGTTGATAATTTTTTTTTTTAATTAGTTGAGACGAACATTTTTTTTTATTTTCAAAAAATAGCTCGTAAAATTCGATAGTAGGTACTAAAGGTAAATCGTTCTGTGGCGGGAAAATCACCACTAAAATTTCACGGTGTATAAAAATACCGCAAGAAATGTAAAATTATCATTGTTCTTCATACAAATAAGTGTATTTTTCACCACAGTCGCAGCTGGCAAGCGCCCCGCTTTGCCGCGCGCTCCGCGTTTATCATCTTGAGAAACGTACAACAGGTACAAACGTTACACTCTGTTTTGCTAAAATGTTCATTATCCACATACAAACACGAGTAACTTAGTACCTACGTCCTTCAAGGGAAAGTACTCGGAAAATAAATGGAAAACAACAATAATAGGCACTATTATTGTGGTTTTCCAATTATTCTCCGATATGTAATACACACTTTATGAGAGTAAAACGATCTAACCTTCGCTTATCTATCTTAAAAAATGCTCGACCTAATATCACTAACTCCCTATTGCCCGCGGCTTCACCCGCGTGAAATTTCGTTTGTCACAGATCGTCATAAATTATAATAAACAATAATACTGTAAAGTTTCATCAAAATCCGTTCAGTAGTTTTTGCGTGAAAGAGTAACAAACATCCAGACATCCAAACTTTCGCATTTATAACATTAGTAGGATAACTTTTAGGTATGACAAGTAGACATTGTATTAATAATCCTACAGTTATTAGGAACCACCACACCACATTAACAAATTGATATTGCCTGATCCCTAAAGATAGCAAAAACAAATTTTGTTGAATTGTAATAATAACATAGGGCACATTATTTTTCAGTAGATAGATAAGAAGAGTGTTATACGAGTAAAACTCATAAAATCATAAAAACTCATTTATTTATGCAAATAGGCTTTAAAAAAGGCACTTTTACACGTCCCAGTATTAACCCTACCACTGCTTCAGGACAATATAAATGGGCCAGTGCTGAGAAGAAGCAGCGCAAGAAACTCAGTCACTATTGTCAGCCTCTTTTATCTGAAATGATTATGTTTATTACTTATTTCAATTTATGGTCTTTAGTAAAGACTCTTTACTGCGTTACCACACTACTGGCTACCTCCAAAACTACGAATAATGTAATAAATATTTGCAAATAAAATACTAAATTCACTTTCAAATAACCATATCAGAATTATGTCTATTTTTGTTTATAGTAGTTTCAGAAAGTTAGTATTTCAGCTAATCTCGACAAAATGAGTCCCGGCAATATTCCTGAAAAGGCCTTTGTCAAGCTGTAAGCATTAATTTCGCCACAATTTATGAGTGCGTAAAGAACATAATAGCCAGGCTTGCTGACTGAAATAAATCTTTTTAGCCAAAAATTAGGGGTGCGTTATGGGTTTCCGAAACACGACGTTAAACATTCTTTGCCGTGATTAAGTTGGCTATGTGGGCCGCACTCGCGAAACCCTGCAGAGCCGTGCCTTGGTAGAAAGAAAGCTCGTTTTTGTAGAGCCCCGAGCCAGGGCTCCAAACCACAGTTTTTAATTATGCCAACCTGAAAGGATAAGTATTCATCAAAGAGACCTCGTACATCGAATGAATGAACCATTTTGGGCAGTGTTCCGTTGTATGGTCCTATAGAATCCTCGCCGCTTTAATTTTAGAAACGCGCAAGTGAATCGTTTAAGCGGCAAATTATTTGTTACACATTTTATACGCTACAAAGTTATTTCGTGCTTGCAATGCACAACACTGTACATGCCTGAATTATAATTATTTAGGTAAGTACACTCTACTTACTTGTAATTATACCCATTCTCACAAAGTAAAATACCGAAGGTCATGTTCAAAAAGCGTTGGCATTAGGTATTTGAAATAATTTATGGTTAATAAATTACGGCATCTATGTTTTAATACATCATTCACAATATACACCATAATCTTGACCAGCCATTCACATTTTTGTAGTAAGTAGGTACAATGTTGAAATCGACTGAACGAAGATCCTATTAAGCAAAAATTGCTGCTTGACACGCCATCGAATAGCAACTAGGTACAATAATGAAATGTTGTTTAATTGATATGTGGGTTCTTACCCTATTGCTAATGATTTTCTCAAGAGAAAAAAAACATGTTTGCTTGTTTACATAGAAAATTTCGCTACTTATATTTTTATGTAAATCTCCGACCGTAATAAACTGGTGATACTCTATCAGGGCTCCGTCCCTTCAAACTGGAGCGACAATAGGTGCAGAAGGGTAGCACTTACCCCTACCCCGGAAAAAGATCTTTTGTTGCTCATTAGAAGTTTATTGTAGATATCACGTCGCTGCGTCGACGACGCGTCAACGTCGCGATGCGGCTCCGTCTCCGATATTGTCTCGAGTTACCATCAAGGTTTATTGATTAGCGCTTTGTATCCTTTCCGTACCGACAAAGCAAGTTTTTGAAAAAGTCTGGAGGGGAACTACCTAAATAAAATTGGTCAAGTGCGTGTCGTACCACGCGCAATATAGGGTTCTGTAGTTAAAAAAAAAACAGTTTTTCATCCAACAATTTACTTTTAAGAGGGGGGGGGACGCCCTACTCGAACAAAAATTGGCACTTTAAACTTTTCACCATCAATCCCTAATTTTTAAGTGACTCTATGGTAACACATAAAAGGTACATATTTTGTTTACATAGGGATCACTTAAAAATTAGGGATTAATGGTGAAAACGGGCATTAGAAACCCAAATGCAAATTCACTCCTAAAATAAGCATATTATTTGTTTTAAGAGTGATTTCCACAAGAGTCCAGCGATTAACTCGGGTCGAATACCTATACCTAAAATGACCTGATGATAAACAATAAAAAATTCACTCGCAGTAGCATGATGTTCTCAGTATATTGACTGCATAAAAATCTTACATATTTGATTCCAGTGACAATGATCTATGATTCTTTAGTTGGTTAGACTAAATCATGACCTGGCGTCTTAATAATGGCTTAAATGCAAGTTATAAAAGATCATAACATTAATTAAGTTTACACGATTGATTAAAAAGAATATTCAATAAAAATGTTTGCGCCTGACTACCTTTTATCACGAAATTACAATCTCTAAAGACGGCGGTACTTTTTCCATAAGAGCTGGTGAAAGTCAAAAGTTTTAGCTATTATTAGGGAGAACTAGTCCGCGAAAATGCCTTATCTTTCACATAAAGTGATACATTTCGTCGGCCGTTTGGTGTAGTGTAGTGGTTCTAAAACGGACTACTATGCCGAGAGGTCCCGAGTTCAATTCCCAGACGGGCAGAAATGGAAATGATGACTGTGTGTATTTAAAAAAGTATAGTATATCCGTTAAGCTAGCACCCATGCTTACTTTGGGGCTGGGTAGCGCTGTGTGAAATTGTCCAAAGATATTTATTTTTATTTATTTATGTAAATGAACAGAAATGAACCCACTAAAAATATATAATGATATTCGAACTGCAACTCTACTAGTAAAGTATGTACCTAGTTTCAACTCGAACCACTAGTCCAAAAGGCCGTCCAATATACGGGACAAATTAAAGCTAGTATCTCTTTTGATGAACTTTACGAGCATCTTAAATGATACACGATATTAATTGCGGGACTATAAATTAACAGAAGCTATAACGTATGGCTCCAGACGAGAGAATCTTCTTTTCAAGTGCACACAGCGGGTCTATAATGTTCACGTTTGTAGAATAATAAATACTAAATAAGTACTTATTCTAGCTAATAAAGATAAAGATAAAGATAAAGATACATTTATTTGTTCAAACATGTGTACATAAGGTGTTAAGTCAGCATTTAAAATGGTATCAACATGTCGTACATTACTAATACCGACATTACAATAGGTAGGTATGTTAAATGCAAAGATATCTGATAGAGGTATTTAATGTCTTCAACAACATTCATAACAAGGATACAAAATGTGTTAATTACAAAAAAAAGCATTTGGTCCTTCTTGGATTTGAATCTGCTCTGAAATTCACAAGCTACTTACTGCGGCAGATGTGTGTTTGTAAAGACAATAGCATCAGACTACAGTTTTATTACAAAATCATCTCTATTATTAAAATACATAAAGTACCTACCACAGGGTTTAGCTTAAACTGCCGTCGCCTATACCTACATTTTAAGTAGCTCAGCTTCACAATTGTATCTCACATTTGAGAAATATGAAAGAGCCCAGAAAAAACATTTTTCTCTACTAATGTAACATTCAGGTTCGCGAGGTAGTCGGCTTTTATTATACCCACCTCTTCCCTCCAGTTGAATACGTAATGATTACGCGATTTGAGCACAATCGGTAAGAGCAGTAAGAAAACCGAAAGTAATAATAAGTTACCAAAATACATTTACTAGATAATTTTATTATACATGAAAAGGAAAAGGTACACGTGCGGTAGTAAGCTATTTTTTTCCGTTATTTTCTGAACATCTGATGGCCGCATGGCAGAAAAGTTGCTGAGTACCTACTGACCGGATAACGTTGTGCAGGCAGGCCTAACACTCGGTGGACCGACGATCTGATGAAGATTTCAAGAAGCTCCTGGATATGGCCAGCGCTGAACCAATCGTTGGGCAAATTCTTGGAGGAGACTTATCCAGCACTGGACATCTTTTGATTAAAATGTACTACCTACATAATAATTTGTACAAAAGAAAAATATTTGCTCTAGACTTTATGAAAATATGAATTATCCAGAGTTTTTATTATTAGTTTGTGAGTAATTAACTGAAATCGGATGGGACTGACTAATTGTTTTGTTCACAGAGTTGTCTCCGAACGAGGAAGCGCGGCAAGCTGTGATCCGTGAGCTAGTGACCACTGAAGCAGACTACATTCGGCATCTCATAGCCATCGTCGAGGTAAGTGTTCCTACTTAAGCAGAATTCAGATTTTCCTATTTTATTGTACACATCCCATAGGCCCCGTGGAAGGGATTTGGTTCGTAAGAACAGAGAATCTAGTAGATCCAGTCGGCTAGTGTTGATCTATATTGCATCCGAAAGACACGTAATTTATTTTTCGCTTTACATCACTAATTTAAAAGCCTTTGAAATCACAATTAACCCATGACTGGGTATCACTGTACTACCACAGATTACTAATAAGTTACTATGCTACTACGTTCACGCTTGTGTCTCACCTTTTCCAACTTCAGAAAGAAGGTTGTATGGATTTTATTTAAAAAAATATTCATTTGACTTGGGTGTTACGTTCGTTCGTTGTGATGCCGAAAACACGAAAATAATAAAACCGCCGACGCCGTAAGATATGGATCTACGCACCCGAGTACACCACACAGATGTAAAATACCAAATGTGGTGTAGCAGGGATTTCAACCCTGATCGTGATCAGGGCTGAAACCTTCGCACATACACAATGTAGATTGGCTTTTGCCTGTTTTTGCTCAGTCAATGTTGAATTTATCCTTTTAAAATCATAATTACCTATCATAAGCGAAACATTTATAACGAAATCGATGGTAATTTTAAGCTCATGGACTACAAACAAGTTTTAAAGTTACTTCGCGAAATTTACTTCAACCTTCCCTAAAATTCAATATTATAAGCATACATTTGCATCCCATATGAAATAGCATATTTTCATTCTTTCAAATAATATGTATAGAAAATACCACCTATTAAATATAATTCAACCTATAAACTCACATAACTATACAGTTTATCGACCTTGTGAAATATGTTCGTGCTTGTCTTGATACATTATAATCTGCTATATGATGATCGAAAAACCTTTTTGCCCGTGAGGAGATTAACCTCTTACGGCTGTGTGAGGTTGCCTGAGTACTTTCCAAAGCGTAAACTCGTATATTAAGTAGGAACAGAAGTGCCTAGCTAGCTAGAATTCTTACAAATGACTTACAAAATCGTGAGAGAAGCTTAAAGTTCAAGCAGTAAGTGGGTATCGAAATTAAATAAACACATGACATTAAACTATTAAAAGTTTTTGTTAGTCATGCTATTAGAAAAGTTTCTATATGCTCACAGATGGTTATCGTCTTAGTGCTTCTGAGCCCTTAAAAGCTCTTGGGTTTAATGTTTGTGGTAAATCGTCCACTGCAGCTGTAGGTACCTATAGTTCTTCACGATTTCTTCTACGTCCCATTTAAAACTCTTGAAAACTTTAACCTGTCAGTAATCAATCAATCAAAGTTTGTCTTGGCAAAAAATCCTTTCTGTACATTAAAAAAATAGGACAATTTATCAAGCCTCATCATCAGGATAACATTTCAAGCACTAGTCTATTATTGCGCAGGCATATTTTCCGATTGGACGAGTTGAAACAGGATTATGCGAGCTTACGGCAAAAGGTTAATCCCCATATAACGAGGGCTATAGCGAGGTGGCCAGATCGATCACAATCTTCCCGGTTTCTTCAGCTCGCGAAGGTTAAGGGGACGAACGTTCAACTTTTGCAATAAAAGTCAAGTTTTTGGGGCCGCAATGGTTAACTGCTTTCAATATCGATGTAGGTTCCGCAGTTAGTCATGCATTTAGTATTTGTTCGTATGTGTGTGTTAGAAAAGCTGACTTAGGCGCCACCAACACCATAGCTGCCATAGGTATTCGAAATATTATAAAATAGGCCAAGTTTTCTTTTTATTATGCTCTCTCTCGTTCTTCTGGTAAATGTCCACTTTTGGTAAAGGCTTATTTAAAACTAGCGGTCGCCCGCGACTTCGTACGCGTGGATCCCGTTTTACCCCTTCATCTATCTTACGCGGTTTAGATTTTTTCATACAAATGTTTTTTCCCGCTAACTCCCGTTCCCGTGGGAATTTTGCAATATCCTGATGTAACTAAGCTTTAAGTTTACTAAGGTACCTGCATGCCGAATTTCAAGCGTCTAACTTAAGCGGTTTAGGTATTTCATACAAAAGGATTTTCCCGCTAATTCCCGTTCCCGTGGGAATTCCTAAGTATACTATAACCTGCCCAGGAGTATGAAGAATAATTGTACCAAGTTTCGTTAAAATCCATCTAGTAGTTTTTGTTTCTATAAGGAACATACAGACAGACAGACAGACAAAAATTTTACTGATTGCATTTTTGGCATCAGTATCGATCACTAATCACCCCCTGATAGTTATTTTGAAAATATATTTCATGTACAGAATTGACCTCTCTACAGATTTATTATAAGTAGGTAATATAGATTTAAAGGAAAATGAAAGGCATTAAATAATTTATTCAATAAATCTTACACATTCCTTCAATGCTTCCCTGTTTCCATTTTGACTAGCCTTTCAAATATTTGTCTCTTCAGCATCAGAATCTCTATCATTCAGTCTTTTATATAAAGTTCGTTAACCTAATAATGTCAGATTTTTTGAGACGTTAAGAGCTTTATGTTACTTTGTAAACGTTTGTCATTTACAACACTAATCAAGTTTATTGGTAAGCTGCACAAAACTGTTTTGTTCAGGCCATGTAATCGATTCAATTCTCGCGGCCACAAATTGCAGCCATACAGGTCTCGCTTGGTAGTTCGCAGTTATGCAATCCTCGGTACAATGAAGACATGACCAGAACTTGCCAGTTGAATTTTATCCTTATCATACTCCAATTTAAGACCAGTACTAGCAATCGCCGTACAGAATAGAATGAAATATCAAACACCCATAGTTCCAAAATTCTAAACCGTAGTTCATCAACTATATCGCTCTCACACAAGATGAGTGAGAGAGACGGCAAGATTAGGGAAACACGGAAATGTTCTTGCACAGTAGGTCATCTGACTGACCTCTTTATCGCAAAGGTAATGCGATACCATAACTGCCGTGGGGGCGGCAATAGGCCACCGCTGGCTCCTGAAGCTTTCCCCACTTTGGAAATATTTGGGTAATGGAATATATAACTCCAAAAGTAAAAAACGCACGTCAAAAGCTGTCTCACTATTTCACTAAAATAGCTATTACGATCTTTTTAAGTCATTTTATACTTGTGTGGCTTTTTGGACTTTGAATCTTATTTTGAATGCTGTTCTATCGAGGTACTGAGTTATAAATTATGTAGGTATGTAACCGAGGTTACAACACGAATGTCAATTGAAATAACCTCTTCCTTAAAATATCACAAGCACGATTAACAAACATTTTGGGGTCTCTATAATACGAGTGGTACCAGTTGTACCAATATGGCACCACTTTGGTGTCTTTGGTAATAAGAAGGTAGAATTTAGAATTTTGTTTTCATCTTTGACGACTTTTATCAAACCTATTTAGTATTTTACTTATTTGATTTCAGTGGCAACTCCTTCAGCAAAAAGTACTACGTTATGAATTTAAAGTACCGGTCCGGCATAATACTTACCGTCCACTGATATTTAATTTAATGCATATACTCGTGCTAATGCTTTGCTCGACCGCGTCTCTGCTGCGTACATAACGTGGTTGATTGTAAATGAGCTTAATGGAATAGTTAATTAGGTTTACGTAAAACCAAATTGTCGCACTGTGTGCACCCCTGCCTGGATCCAGTGGTTTTAATTTGCACTTTTAGCACACGCGAGTTCGCATGGTTGGCCTCAGCGGCAGGCCCAAACTTAGTTTAAAAAGCATCCAAAATATAATAATATAATTTGTCTGATAAAAAATATCACATAGGTAGGTCTATGTTCCCTCTCAACGATAACTTTAACCCCCTTATTAATTTTTATTATTTGGCTTTTTAACAACGTATACATATTACATAGTAAGTATCACAATTTTATAATACAATACATTAAAGCTATAGCTATAACTGCTCCTTCACATAAAAGATAGATACATACGGAAAATAACCCTGTCATAATTTACTGTCTTAACCGTAATATCAAGAAAATAACTTCATTTGAATTAGTCCGTCGTTAAAAAGTTTGAAAAAGTGAAAAATACTCGACACATATTTTCCACTTTTTCAAACTAATGAAAATTGAAAGAGATAAGGCGCGCCAAAGCTCAAAAAAAGATGCCCGTGACGTTAGAGGGCGTGCTTAAAAGTGTAGCGCATTGTGTCGTCACGCGGAACTTCATCATAACTTCGTATCCTTCTTGTTTGATTGACAATTAAAAATAAACCTGTCCAATATTTTTTGAAAATGTAATTAACTTAGTAGCCTCCATAGTAGAAAGAAAGTTATTCCGCCATCCGCGATCCAGTGCGGTCAGCTTATTTCTGTTTGGTAGCCGTCAATGACACAGGAGTAATATTTTGAAAGAATAATTTTATTTAGACCAAACATCCTTAGACTACTTACAACATACAATATTTCAATGCATTCGCTAAATTTCGATTTGCAGGCAAACTTTTAGCCTAGGCGCAGACCACCGACTTTTTGTCGGCCGATTAGTTGGGTCGGGATGTTATACATATTTGGTATCAGCCAATTTTTCATACAAATTAAAATACTTTGATTTACTTTACTAAATATTACCATCTCTTATTTTATCAAAGACCTTCGTTCGTTCTGTTATGAGCCTCAGAGGATTTGGGTTTTTAAAAAAGAACACGAGATTAATAGGATAAGACAGCCGTCTAGTTCGGATGGTGGAATGAGACTGGCAAGGAGATGCGAGGGATCGCAGGCTATGGATAGAAAAGGATGAGTCGGCAAAAGGCGAAATGTCAGGTAAGCAATATAGGGTGCGAGGGCTATCTGTAACACCTCCCGGGGGTAGACTAAACATCGGGGTGAAATGAGCGATGTTTAGGAAAAACGGAAAAAGGTAAGTATTTAGATTTTACACATTTCTGCGTATACTAGGAGATGGGATTTCTTCTGCATCAGGATGACGTTTAATGATCTTCAAGGGAATGGCTGGTTCGGGAGTTGGAGGAGCTGGAGCTGGTTCTACAGGTAA